CCGTCGACCCGGCCCGCTCGAACCCGTCGACCTGGCCCGCTCGATTATACCCGAGTTATAACCGAGCGGTACGGGATTTGTAATCGAGCGGGCCATTACCGCGGTACTGCTCGGATAATAGGCTTGTAACCTTCCAGTAACCTCAATACGAATGAACCGTGTTTATAACCTCGCTGTAACCAAGACGTAACCGAGAGTTCAAACCGTGCGTTGTACCGCAGCGGTATAATTGAGTTGTAACTAAGGCGTAACCGAGATAAAGTGAAGCGTAACTTTGTAAACGAACTATAACTTAACTGTAACCGAGAGTTCATACCGCGCGTTGTAACCTAGCGGTATAGCTGAGCTGTAACCGACACGTAACCGAGAGAAAGTGAAGTGTAACTTTACGGTAACTGCCTCAGAAATTGAAACGTTCGTGTAACTTGGTGGTAAACTAGGTAGTGAATGTAATCTTCATTTAACGCCATCAAATACTTGTGGTAAAAAATTTCATGACAGTAAGAATTCTTATTTTCGTTCTCGCCTAGGGTTTGCATTCAATCGAACGTTACGTCGAGGTATTGGTGTTGTTTAGGGTTTAGTCAAAAATGGAGGACAGCGACAAGGGTACGGCATCGTTGGAAGAGGAGAATGTTGCCCATTTTGAGGAGGCGGAGAAGCCGGATGTCGAGGAAGGCAAGAAGTTTGCGGCCGAGCTGCCAAAGCTAATGGTGAAGGGTGGACGCAAGAAGAAGGATTTAGGTGGCTCCAAAACGGGGAAAATAGAGAAGACCGAATCCATAAAGCAACCCAAGGCCGTTTCTAGGTACATTTGATATTTTTTTTTCGTTAATGTTTAATGGTGAATTTAATTTCTTGAGTTATATTAATTCTGAATGATGAATTTTAAGACTGAATTATAGAAGATTTTAAATTTCTTTCATCATTATTTACATAGTTTAACATACATTAAAATTAAATGTAGATTTTTGAGCGCGAAATCAATGAACTGCAGATGTCGTCCATCTGCAGTACGAGAAGCTCTGGATAAGGTCCGGCCCACCATCGACGAGCACACGTGGAATAAGTTGGAAAAC